CAATCTAAGAGGTCTGGTTAGAACACATTTGACACAGGATTCAAGAAAAATCAACGGAGTTCCTATTACATGAAATGTACCATTCAAGTGACAAAGAAACAGAAGACATGACACATGCCAGCAAGGTACGTACAGGGTTTTTTTGGCTTTATACCTGCTATTCCTTCTGGGGAACTCTCTGTACTGCCTGCCAACTCCCAAGTTAACTCTCAGTATGCCCATCTTAGACCAAACCCTGTTAAAAGCTGTGATTGCATCATGTACCCCTCTTTCATTACACTTGTCACAGATGCAATTTTATATTACTTGTGAATTTATTTGACTAATGTCTGCCTCACTCACTAGAGTTTAAGTGCCATGTAATTGTAACTGGGATTCCTGTCAGTGTTGGGTCACCAGTACAGCTGGGCACTTAGCACAGCACCTGCATGTATGATGCTCAATAAATGTAGAAGGAAGGAAAGGAAGAAAAGAGGGAGGGAAGGAATTTGCCTACAGTTCACACAGCTAGTATGCAGTGGAGGTGGTATATTGGTTAAATAACCGTAAAAGATTTAGACAATATATTTCATAAGGCGTGACAAAATTAACTGTTTAAAAAAATAGAACAGACAATAAACACCAACGTTTTTGGGGAGAGATCATCTCCACTAGTTAAGATTTAGGAAGAGTCCAGAGAGTTCAGGTTTGAGCCTAGCATTGAGAGACAAATAGTATACAAATAAGTGATGAGAAATAGGATTCTTTGTAGGTGGGACAGCACAGGCAAAAGTACCACAGTAAGAAAGCAAAAGGCATATTTAAGAGATTAACCATCTAACCATTATATTAGAATATAATCAACAAGGATCTACTGTATAGCACAGGGAACTCTCTCAATATTCTGTAATAACCTATATGGGACAAGAATCTGAAAAAGAATGGATCCATGTATATGTATAACTGAACTACTTTGCTGTACATCTGAAACTAACACAACATTGTAAATCAACTATACCCCAATATAAAATAAAAATTAAATTGAAAAAACCTAGAACAGAGGGCTTTCTAGGTGAACAGGTTGAAAAGGCAGGGTCATGGAGGGATTAAATGTCAGTCTAAATTATTATTTTTTTCCACAGGCTTGGGAGCTATTGAAGATGCTTGAGAAAGGAAAGCATCTAATTATAGTACTGTTTATGAATAACAATCTGGCGGTAGAACTGAGAGACAGGAGACACTAAACCAGTTAAGAGACTTGCAAAACCTTAGGGGAAAGGTAATTGCCACAGATCCTAGTTGAGTACAGGTGTCAATACTGTTATCAAATTGAGTTGTTGAAGTCTGGACTAAGGTGCAGGATGCTGAGCCCAAAAAGAATTAGGGATAGATTCAAAAGAAATTACAAAGCAGGAAATATAAGCAAGATCTAGAAAAAGAAAAAAGAAGGTGACTGAATTACAGTGCCAGCAGGAAGCAGATGGTACACTCAAAGGGCTAATTGGACAGGACTTAATGAAGGGAGTATTTACAAAGGTGTGGGCAGGGTCAATAAACCAACAAGGGCTTGTGAAGCACCCTGGGACTTGCAACGGTAGGAAGCCTTTACCGGTATTAAAGCTGAAGGGACCATCATTGAAACCTGGTGAGAGTTTCTGAAGGGAGAGGGCTACAGCTTTAGCAGGAGCCTTGGCCTTAGGTAGAGGAACTCAGCCACTGCCGAAGATCTGCTAGTGCCTGCCACTGGCTTGCTCTAATGAGAAGCCAGAGGGCAAGGGAGACTGCGTGATGATGCACAGAAGAGGGCAGAAGAGATGGCGAACGGATCTAAAAAGGTAATGACAGCATATACGGCATAGTGACCAAGGCCAAGGTCCTGGCTAAGGATGCTAGGGATGAGGTATGCATGTGTGTGCCTTCCCTAACCACTGGCTCTAAAAGAATGGAAACCTAGAGACAGACAGTGAAAGGGAGAATGAGGAAGGGCTGTAAGTAATAATTCAAGAGGTAATGAACAGTTGAGCATTTGAAAAAATGCAGCCCTTTCAGGGAGAAGTGAGAAAACAGAACCCCTACACCCAATGCAAAAAGCTCAATATGGCGTCCTTAGACCCCGTGATACTTCTGTCTCGCCTAGAAATAGTAACAGTAGTTGGCATACCACGTCCAGTTAATTTTACTGGACTCCCGTCCCCTCTTCAGTCCCACAAACACTATCTACATCTCATTTTGATCCAAGCTTCGTTTCTTTTGATTAGTTGCTTACTGTTTCCTTATTTGCCCAAATTTGGTGCCTCTCACCAATTTACTAGGTAGGCTCTATAGGGACAAATTAGCTGAGGCCTTTCTGTCATACTACCTAAACCAACCCAACCAGAGGAACCCTCACTTAATTAATCCTCTGACATCTACCTCCCATATTCTCTACCTTCTGGGACTAACCCTCACTTATCTATCACTGGCAGAAGAAAAGAATAAATATATAGAATCACAGTGACAGAAAATATCAGAAAGATTCAAACAAGAGATCAATGAGAGGAGGCAGAGAGGGAAATTAGAACTCATCATCAACATTTTATTTGCAGGTTAGCCACATAGTAGTTAAGAATACTCTGGGCCAGAGAGACCTGCTTTTGAGTTCCAGCTCTGCCACTAGTTGACTATATGACTTCGGAAAATTACTTAATCTCCATAAGCCTTGATTTCATTTGTGAAGGTGGGAATATCTACCTTACATGGTTAAGTATTTAGCACAGTGACTGACACACTGCAAATAAGTTCTCAACAAAGCTGGCTATTAGAAATCATCATCATGGACTTCCCTGGTGGCGCAGTGGTTAAGAATCCGCCTGCTAACGCAGGGGACCTGGGTTCGAGCCCTGGTCCGGGAAGATCCCACATGCCACGGAGCAACTAAGCCCGTGTGCCACAACTACTGAGCCTGCGCTCTAGAGCCCGCGAGCCACAACTACTGAAGCCCTCGTGCCTAGAGCCCCTGCTCTGCAACAAGAGAAGCCACCGCAGTGAGAAGCCTGTGCACCACAATGAAGAGTAGCCCCCGCTCGCCACAACTAGAGAAAGCCTGTGCGCAACAAAGACCCAACACAGCCATCAATAAATAAATAAAATAAGTAAATTAAAAAAAAACAAACTATAGCTTTCATGAATCTTTAAGATTTGATTTCTAAATGTGAGAATAGCATTTAAAAAAAAGAAATCATCATCATTATTTGAATGATGATGTGCTGCCACTGTATATATGGCTACTGTACTGCAAAAAAAACGGTTAAAAGTAATTATCAACATAAGGCATATACTTATACCAAGGTACAGATAAAGACAAAGAGATATCAGAATATGAATATGGAATGTGTGAGATTAACTTGGTTCATACAAAGGATGAATGTAAATTGTATGATGGATGAATGGAGAGGGTAGTCCTGGGAGCTGCATGTTCAGACTGGATGGAGTCATCTACTCTAGTAGATGCTAGTTTAGAAGACGTCCCCTAGGAAGCAGGATCAATCTGTAAAATCAGGTAAGTCAGTAGTTACTGAACATGTACCATGTGCCTAAGACTGCAATAAATTATGAGTAATTTTTAAAAATTAAGGATAAGATATAACCCCTAACCTCAAAAACCCTACAATCTCATTGAAAGGATTATGAATACAATCTAAAATAAATTATGAAATTCTGAATTGCAGACTGTAAGTTCAATAAGTGCCCACAGAAGGGAAAGAGCTAATGGGTTAGAGTCCTTGGTGAGAAATTCATGGGCGTAAGGTTGGAGTGGGATGGGTGAAGGGGGAAGAACTTGAAATAGATAAAGGATATTTGAAAGAGGAAAGGACTGGGAGTTGGGAGCACCCCAAAGATGCCACTCCAGAGGTATTCTGGTAAGAGGAACCTCAAAAATCAATTCAACTTGTACAGAATGCCTCCTGTGTCTGGTAACGTGTTATATACCGAGGTACAGAAAACAAGACAATCTCTGTTCTCAAAGAACTCAAAATGCCCTGACAGAAAACTAGGAAAATGAAACAAAAAAGTTATCACTGACAAATGCTATAATATAGGGATGCATTCCAAAAGGGAATTTTGGAGCAATGGGAGGGCAGTCAATGGACAGGACTCTATATTTACATAGAAGGGCAGGGGCTTCTGTGTGAGTGATTTTCTAGAGCTTAGAGCCCTTCGGTCTCTGTGCGTTTACCCTCAGTTAGCGGAAAGGCATCTATATCGCAGTGCATGATGAAAAAGTGAGCTGAGAGCCAGGATATACTTTTAGGAGTTAACACTTGAGCCGAGGCCTGAAGGGTTACGTAGTGACTGCGGAGGGAAAGGTAACGTTGACAGAAAGAATAGCAAGTACAATGACACTGAGGCATGAGGGCGTGATATAGTTTAGGAACCCTACGAAGCTTCCTGTTCTCCCTTCCCATCCCTCCATCAAGGTTTGCGGGATAAAATACAGGATGCCCAGGTAAATTCAAATTTAGATAAACAACGAATAATTTCAAAATACAAGTATGTCCCAAATATCGCACACACTCTGGGCCCCCTTCAATTCATCCTAGCTCGGCCCCCCGAGCCCACAAACCCCCCCGGTATTACCCACGAGCTGACGAGGTAAAGCATGAGAAACCATCACAGGTTTATTTTTCCTTCACTCCTATTTTTTTTCACTCTCGGGTCACCGGCCCAGGCCTGAGGGATGAAGCTCGAAGCTCGTTCCGGTTCAGGGGTCAGTCTCCATCAACTGGAGTTGAGGCGGGGGAAGTAGAGGGTCACCCACAAATAACACGCGCCCGGCTCTGTGAAAACACCTGCCAGCGCCGGCCTTCCGGGCAAACTGAAGTCGCCGGACCGGAAACCCCGCCCCCGCCGGAGGTGGAGAGGACGCGAGATAGCCTGCCCAGAAGGAAGCTAATTCTCCCGCTGGGGCCACTAAGAACCCAGTGCCTAGCGTGCGACCGGAAACAGGACGGGGGCGGGCCTTCCTGCCGGAAGTTGTCGTCCCGCAGTTGTTTCGGTTGGCAGTCTAGCTGGTGGGAGTAGTGCCGGCAAGCTGAAGCAAGGAACCGCAGCTAAGGTTAGACCTTCCAAGGCAGTTTAGAGCTGGGGACTGAGCTGCTGTGGTGCAGTCAGATCATGAGCCCGACCACGCCCTCGGGAGAGTGGTTCCTGAACCTGTGGGTGTCCCCCGCCGGGGTATTTGGCGTGGCCTTTCTTGCCCGAGTGGCCCTGGTTTTCTATGGGCTCTTCCAGGACCGGACCCTGCTCGTGAGGTATACAGACATCGACTACCAGGTCTTCACCGACGCCGCGCGTTTCGTCACGGAAGGGCGCTCCCCTTACCTGAGGGCGACGTACCGTTACACTCCGCTGCTGGGGTGGTTCCTCACTCCCAATATCTATCTCAATGAACTCTTTGGAAAGTTTCTCTTCGTCAGCTTCGACCTCCTCACCGCCTACCTCGTATACCGGCTACTGCTTCTTAAGGGGCTGGGTCGCCGCCAGGCTTGCGGTTACTGTGTCTTTTGGCTTCTTAACCCCCTACCTATGGCGGTGTCCAGCCGAGGCAATGCGGACTCAATCGTCTCCTCCCTGGTGCTTATGACCCTGTACCTAATAGAAAAAAGGCTCGTCGCGTGTGCCGCTGTGTTCTATGGTTTCGCAGTGCATTTGAAGATGTATCCGGTGACCTATATCCTTCCCATAGCACTCCACTTGCTTCCGGAACGCGACAGTGACGAAGGCCTCCGTCAATCCCGGTATTCTTCCCAGGCTCGTCTGTATGAATTCCTGAAGAGGCTGTGTAATCGGGCTGTGCTGCACTTCGTAGCCATTGCTGGCCTCACGTTTTTTGCCCTGAGCTTCGGTTTTTACTACAAATATGGTTGGGAGTTTTTGGAGCACACCTACCTTTATCACCTGACCAGGCGGGATATCCGTCACAACTTCTCTCCATACTTCTACATGCTGTATTTGACCGCAGAGAGCAAGTGGAGTTTTTCCCTGGGAATTGCTGCATTCCTGCCGCAATTCATCTTGCTTTCAGCAGTGTCTTTCGCTTATTACAGAGACCTTGCCTTTTGTTGTTTTCTTCATACGTCTATTTTTGTGACATTTAACAAAGTCTGCACCTCCCAGTACTTTCTTTGGTACCTCTGCCTCCTGCCTCTTGTGATGCCACTAGTGAGAATGCCTTGGAGAAGAGCTGTGGTTCTCCTGATGTTATGGTTCATAGGGCAGGCCTTATGGCTGGCTCCTGCTTATGTTCTTGAGTTTCAAGGAAAGAACACCTTTCTGTTTATCTGGTTAGCTGGTTTGTTCTTCCTCCTTATCAACTGTTCCATCCTCATTCAAATCATTTCCCATTACGAGGAGGAACCCCTGACAGACAGAACCAAATATGACTGATAGATGCTCCAGTTCTTCTGCAACTTGCGTTCTGATTGTTATGAATGGACCAAAGAGAGCTTTGGAAAGAATTTTTTTGAACATCCTAAGCACTCTAGTGAAACTTCAGTTTAGAGCATAAAACCCTATTCCAACAAATTTAAATGAATATTTGCCTTATAAAGGGGACTCAGTAACTGAGGTCCACCCTTTAGGAAATCTCAGGACTCATTTATCTGGGACATGATGGGAAGTAAAGGTTACTAGTTTGAATACAGAAAAGCTGGGGCTTCCCTGGTGGCGCAGTGGTTAAGAACCCGCCTGCCAATGCAGGGGACACAGGTTCGAGCCCTGGTCCGGGAAGATCCCACATGCCGCGGAGCAACTAAGCCCGTGTGCCACAACTACTGAGCTTGTGCTCTAGAGCCCGTGAACCACAACTATCGAAGCCCATGCGCCTAAAGCCCGTGCTCTGCAACAAGAGGAGCCACCGCAATGAGAAGCCCGTGCACCACAACGAAGAGTAGCCCCCGCTCACCTCAACTAGAGAAAGCCTGCGCCCAACAACAAAGACCCAACGCAGCCAAAAAAAATTATTAGGCTAAATTAAAAAGCAATTAAAAAAACAGAAGGGCTGATGAAATTATCAGATGCTAAAAGGTTTTTGTAGAAAATAGAGGAAACATAAAGTCAAAAAACATAAAATTCTAAGCCAGTATTTGTTCCAGTATTTATACTGTGGTACTATCTGAAGCTGTCTTATCTTTTAACTCCCACTTTTTCGTTCTGAAGCTTTCTTGATAACTGAAAACTCATAAAATGTTCCTAAAGTACAGCTTTTAGATATGAAGTGTTAAATAATGATGCTGTGCTTAGGTTGGGAAAGTTAATTCTGTATTAAAAGTGGGGGCTTAGAAGATAAAGAATCCAAAGAATTTAAATTGTAGTCATGTTTCATGTACTTGTTTTATAACTTAGTTTTTCAGTGCTTAGTCCCAGTGGTAATAGACTGCTGTTTGGTTTTTTACAAAAAGGATTAAATTTAAATTCATCCATCTTTAAACTTTTCAACGTATTTTAAAATAGCATCTTGCTTTATATGTTTGAGGTCACACACTGTAAGGACATTTTAGAACTCGCTTTTACCCCTTTGTTTTTAATTTGCTGGTTGCTAAAAAACATTTTTCATTTAGAGTTTAAGTTAATCAAATGTTATCAGTGTTGTAAAAATGATTAGTAGGTTTTAGGTGGTAAAATATTAAATTGTTAATAAGGCATTTCCCAGCTTACAAATTCCTTACTTGTGAAATTCCATGATAGGAATGGAGGCCTGCATGGGAGGCTCCTGGAAAGCATAAGAAGCATTCTAATAGCCATTAGTCTTTTAGACCAGGAAATTGAGGGAGAGAGTGTGGAAATGAGGCTTTGATGGCCAGATCCATTTACCTTATTACTATAATATTTCTAGGAAAAAATGCTTTGTGAGTTTCAAACAAGCAAGCTAAAAAATAATTTTAAAAAAATAGCCTATCTAGGTGGCGACTCCCTAACACTCTAAAATGCATTAGCAATGAGTGAGTTTGAGTTTATTATTTTGATATTAAAAGATGAGTAATTTAACAACATTGTTCTTTCACAGTTAAACAGAATAACAAAAACCTCCAGAGAAGTAGTATATTTCATGTCAGTTCAGGCCTAAAAAGCCTCTGAGAATAAGATGTCTGTAGGCAGGTCACAATTAAGAATGCTATTACTGGCAGCACTTCTTAGATGGATACCTTTTAGGACCCACCATTGGAAAGAAGGGATGAATGGGTGGCTTTGCATGGATTGCTGTTAGGGTGAAAATAGCAGAGACAATTAATTGTTGAGGATGGTGACCTTGCTTATAACATCTTTTTTCATATCCCACATTAGGTATTATCTTAAGGGCTCTTTGTATGTGATTGTTCATTAGTGGCCTTCCAGCCAAGGCATTCTTACCGTTCTTTTCCCTTCATTCCTTTATAATGATAATTAAAAAAATTTTTTTCTGGTAGAACTAGTGGAAAAATGGAAACAGAAATAGAATTCCAACATCTCATTATAATTGTCTTTTTGGTATCCCTGACTAATTTTTTTGGTTTTTTTTTTGCAGTACGCGGGCCTCTCACTGTTGTGGCCTCTCCTGTTGCGGAGCACAGCCTCCGGACGCGCAGCCTCAGCGGCCATGGCTCACAGGCGCAGCCACTCCGCGGCATGTGGGATCTTCCCAGACCGGGGCACTAACCCGTGTCTCCTGCATCGGCAGGCGGACTCTCAACCACTGCGCCACCAGGGAAGCCCCCCTGACTAGTCTTTTAATAGTCACAAGTGTACTTACTTATTCATTTCCTTATTATTATTATTTTTTTACTTTAACATTCTTTGTTGTGCTTTACTCTTCCTACTTAGATTGAAATTGCTGAATAATATTCTGTCACGCAGATGTTCACATTGTAAATGCATCATAAGACGTTAAACATTTTGCATGTTTTAGATCACTCCCTTAACATTCTTAGAAGTCGGTGGAGTTCTGTTGGGATATTTGGAGGGAACTGCAGATCCTGCCTTACAAGAAATTCTCTACCAAAGAACTGCAGGTGTTTCTTAAAAGATGCAGAGAGGGCTTCCCTGGTGGCGCAGTGGTTGAGAGTCCGCCTGCCAATGCAGGGGACGTGGGTTCATGCCCCGGTCCGGAAAGATCCTACATGCTGTGGAGCAGCTGGGCCCGTGAGCCATGGCCGCTGAGCCTGCGCGTCCGGAGCCTGTGCCCCGCAGCGGGAGAGGCCACAACAGTGAGAGGCCCGCGTACCACAAAAAAAAAAAAAAAAAAAAAAGATGCAGAGAGTAGTATTTTATAGCTTATATGCTGTGAGACATTTAGTAAATTAACTCAAGAAATGATTTCATTTGGTCTCTTGGGTTTTTTAATTTTTTTCATTTAGTTTTGTGTTCCAGTTTTGTAAAATCTTTTTGTCTTCTTTTCACTTGCAGTCCTTTGATTTCTTTATTCATCCTGTAATAACACTTTAAAATTGCATAGCGCTTTGGCTTATTTCCTATATGATTCTTTTTGTTCTTATGCCACCTCTTAAGATCAATGTACCCATTTACAGATAAGCATTAATTATTAGCATATGAAGCATGGTTCTCAAGATGGTCTGTGTTCTAAACAGAGGGACTGCATTACTTATTTTCTTCTGTAGTTGCCTTAATGTCTTCAAAATGTGGTCCCTACATATCCCTAGATAAAGTCCCTAGATTAGGTCCATTGGAAAGGCTAATCTCTTTGTTAAAACCATGTTGTTTCAGTTACTGACTTATATAGCTGAATGACTCTGTAAGTGACATAACATTGTTTCAAAAGTTTTGTAGGACTTGTCTTTTAGTTAGTTGACTTGTGGCTGAATATATTGTTATTTCTCCAGCTGTTTTCTATTCTAACCACCCTTACCTCAACCATCTATGCAATGAGTGGAAACGGAAAAAATGGAAAATTTCACATGGGACAGTCCCTAAACGCAACCTCTTGTTTGTTTCTTTTCCCCCGAATGCTCTACTATGAACAATTTTAAACATTACCCATATGCCTACTATCTAAGTTCAACAATTAACATTTTGCCATGTTTGCTTTATATAATTTTTATTTATTTATATATAATTTTTTTCTGAACCATGCAAAGTTGCAAACAACATTGAACTTCAGCACTAAATACATCAGCGTGCATCTCCTAAAAAGTCTTTTCTTACAAAACTAGTATATTGTTATCTAATATAATTTTAACATCCTGTCCATTTTCAAATCTCTCCAATTATTTTGTGTTTAACTTTAAAGAATAGACATTCTTGGATCTCAAAGATTCCATGAAAGAAAGAGATTATAAATAATCTATGATTAAGAAGTTTGGAACTTTCCCTGATCTTTTTTTTTTTTTTTTTCTTTTGCGGTATAATGCTGTGGCCTCTCCCGTTGTGGAGCATGGGCTCCGGACACGCAGGCTCAGTAGTTGTGGCGCACGGGCCCAGCCGCTCCGCGGCATATGGGATCTTCCCGGACTGGGACACGAACTCGTGTCCCCTGCATCGGCAGGCGGACTCTCAACCACTGCACCACCAGGGAAGCCCTCCCTGATCTTTAAAACAAAGTGAGAACTAAAGGGATTTACCTTCCATCAAAGTTGAACAAACAATTTTTTTGTGCAAATCTTTCTGTCTCCCTCCTAAGAAAATACAGGGTGGTAATCATTCATCCCTAATAAGTTTTCCAAATAAAAGGTTACATATGTTTAGATTTTTTTTTTTTTTTTTTTTTTTGTCTACACGGCACGGCTTGCGGGATCTCAGTTCCCCAGCCAAGGATTGAACCCTGGCCATGACAGTGAAAGCCCGGAATCCTAACCACTAGGCCACCAGGGAACTCCCCATGTTTAGATTCTTTTTTTAAAAAAATTAATTAATTAATTTATTTTTGGCTGTTTTCGGTGTTCATTGCAGTGCGTGGGCTTCTCATTGCTGTGGTTTCTCTGTTGCGGAGCATGGGCTCTGGGTGCACAGGCTTTAGTAGTTGTGGCACGTGGGTTCAGTAGTTGTGGCTCACGGGCTCTAGAGCACAGGCTCAGTAGTTGCGGCACACGGGCTTAGTTGCTCCGTAGCATGTGGGATCTTCCCAGACGAGGGCTCAAACCCGTGTCCCCTGCATTGGCAGGCGGATTCTTAACCACTGCGCCACCAGGGAAGTCCCACGTTTAGATTCTTAACACCTACCCCTCTCCTCCAACAACAGGTGATTAACTGATTTTAAATCTTGATTATAAGTTCTGGCTTTTCATGACTATATGAGTTGGGGTACCTATTCTACCACATATGGTTTCATTTTGTTTTCACAGCAACACTTTAGAGTTGATATTTGTATTTCCATTTCAAAGGTGAACAAAGAGGCTCAAAGGCACAAATAAGTGACAGGGCTAGAATTTGAAGCAAATTTTGCCTTACTAAATGTCATATTCTTTCCACTATATTAGGTTTTGGATTTTTCTAAAGTGCCCAGTTGCAATGATTAAAGATTG